AGTAATTTTAACGTACATGTATAATTGGCTGTTTGAATCCTGGTTGACCTTTGACCCAGATTCTTTGTTATGATTCCCACCTCAGCTGGCCACGAGTTGTATACTGTAAAATGTCTAATTTTCACTGGGTTTAAATTTTACTCATTTAGCATTTCAGGCATATTCAGTTGGTTTTAAATTCACGGTTTATCATTTAGATAATGTGTTCTATGCTCAATTTTATATATGCACTGAGTTGTAAACACATTTCGATACGTCATGTGAAGTGACATATAATTATGATAATAATATGAAACAGCTGGTCGAAAACAATTAAAGGGCGGTGGTCGCCGCGCTGCGCATGTGCGACATTTGTGTTGATAAACATTGATTTCCCACAATCCAATGCGCTCTTCTAATTAGAATCGCAAGTATGAGGTATGACCTGAGCGCGACTTGCACTAATTACCGCCGGCGACTCTTTCAATACCTTCCAGTCACCTAAAAAATACCTAATTAAAGCTTGGTAACGTCTCAGTTTGGACTTGTTGATCTGCCCAACAGTCAAAGTCGCCATTTTTGTTTATATGAGACCCATATATCTTGCACATGCGTGGCACGACAATTACCGCCCTTTAACTTTCCAGCCGCCAATGCGATGTTAGTATATCATGCGAGTCGTGTGTTTTCATTTGGTACTAATTTTGTAATTAGGTAATTTTAGCTCAATATTACCCGAATTAAAAAGAAAAAAAACTTGGACAAAAAACACGAATGCATCTTTCAAATCAGATTGCATTAGATTATTCAATAAGGTATATTCCTGTGAAATACGAATAATATATTATACACATCTCCAGTGCATCCGAATGTTGGCAATTGTTTCGGTTTCGCATTCGGTATTGAGTTTGATATTAACTTGACTTTGAAAAGTAATCCGACGCATGTCTGGTCACAGTAACGTCTTCATATATGTATGATATTTGTTGCAGGGCTTGGTTCGATCATTTTGCTAACATGCTGGTGATAGCATTTGGAATAGTTTTTCTCGTCGCAATGACGTGCTTCTGTCTCCAGTCTTGCAAAGACACGGACGAATACGATCACGATTATGCCTCTGATTACATCATCAGACAGGAGGACGCCGAAATGACCACCGTTCCCATAGCAACTGAAGAAAACAATAGAACCAGCCTCGGAGTCATACGCGCTTACGATTCCCAGGAACAGCAGACATTGACGGGAAGCGCCACCAGCCCGCCAAATTATTGTGACGTCGGAATGCCGCCACCAAAGTATGAACAAATAACTTCACCTTTAGGGATTCAAAATTATATTTCAGTTGCACAGACGTCTCATCCAAGGACTCCTCTGCTGTCGGCAGAACAAGGAAATTGGTACTCTGGAGCCCCAGTCCCCTCGGCTCCGCCTCTGTCAGGAAACACAATTGATAATCATAACCCACCGCCTTATTCAGGACAATCGTCATGATGGATCAGACGGATAACATATTCTCGAACGTGGAGTATTTTTCGTCACCGTCTGCGGCCTTGTGACGGCGTGGAAGTCGAGATTTACAGACACCGGGCTAGTGATTGTATTTGGTTTATCAAATTCAGGTCACGTTAATAACTGGCTCGGGATAATTTTACTACTAAAATCATGGCATTCTGGTTTCATAATTTGTACATAGATGTAGCATACAAATAAATTGAACTCAACGCAGTCTCTGTGAAACAAAGCGCTCTGATATTGTGTGTGTGTGTGTGT